TATAATGTATAATAATTGAAATGGTTACTGTATTTTACAAAATACTAGTCTACTAAAACACAGCAAAGACAGATCAATTTGTAAAGACTAAAGGTCAGTTTTACATTATTGGATAAGGCAATATGAGTACACGTGTGCCACGTCCCACTAAAATGCAGGCAAGACAGGTCACTTTGTAAAGACTAAAGGTCAGTTGTATATTATTGGATACAGTAACACGAGAGCACGTGTGTCACATTATTGCAACTTCTGTATTGTTAGCCAGACATGGCTGAAAGGTCAATATAATAAAAATAATAGATAGATAGATATAAATGTGTAATGTTATGAGATTTAAGCTATTTAGTCTAAACATTTATGTTTTAATGTTATAATCTGTAGTCATTCTAGAAGGAAAAAGGCATAATTTATATTTATTTTCCGATTTCTTTAATGTAGTTACAAGATCGGTCAAATCGACCAAACCCATACAGAGGTTAGTTGCTGAAAATAACAAATAAAATATACAGTTTTTTTCTTAAGAAATGTTTGATAACTATCTGAACATTATAAAGATTTCATCTATGAAATTCAAAAATTTTCTGATGCACTAAGTATTTTTAATCTTAAGATGAAAATTACTTTGCATGATAGATAGGCAACATGCAAAAAGAAAAAAAAAAGGCATAAGAAAAACATTGGTTTATAATCCTTAAGGCTTAATAAAAAAAACTGATATGTTGCACATGAAAGTATTGTAATGTTTACTGATAATCTGCCAAATTTCGTTAACATACACTTACTAGCTTAAAAGTTACAGCATGAAAATTATAACAAGCACAAAATGGTTACACGGTTGATACCAGGGACAGAGCCTGTGTTGAAAGAGTTAATTCTGTGTAACAAACTGTGGAATATTACATTGTTTGTCTTGAAGAAGCATGTTTGATTGTGTCACTATAAGCCAGTTTTCTCAATATTTATATCAATATTTAAGTGTGAAAATTTATGTTTCTATTTTTGCTATACTCCATAGTAAATTAAATAATTTTGTTTTGTGAATTTAGAAGAGTTACGAAACTGTTATGTTGATGTTTGAAACCCGACCAAAGACAAATCACATCAATATGTCTAGACCAACACTAGATCATCCATGCTAACCCATCATTCTGTTTACATATCTCATCACTAAGTTTGAAGTAGTTCTGGTCGAAGCATATGGTTATTATCATTTGTAAATCCTGGACTATTACAGGGTTTACTTTTTCTTTATCCAATAAATAACTAACATTTTGTGTAGATTCTTTGACAGGTATACTGGTGAAAAGATTACAAATGAAACTATTTTGACATTATGTGATATCTCTACATTTTTGATTTCTTCCAGAACCTACAGGGAATTTTTTTATACTGTACTTAGGTTTGAAACTGGTTACTTTTTTGAAAATATTGTGTGCTTCCTGTTAGTTTTTAAACAACAGGTCTGATAGTAATATTTGTATAGTGTAGTTAAGAAAGTCCATACAGATATGGTTGTTGATTTTACCACGATATCCTTGTTTTTAATCATGTCATGATGAATCCGACTCTGTAACAAACATGTAACATGTTCTAAAATTCTAAACACTTCTTCCAAGAACTATGCTGTCCAAACCAATTAAATCAGTACATTTTAGAATGACGGTTTAATAAACACTAAAGTGGAAAAAGGTAATATGAATGTTGTACTTGATATGAAGCTTAAAGCTAGATAATGTTGTATTTCAATAAAAAAAATCACATTTTGGAAAACTTCTTACTTTAGAGCCTGATCGAGCAATTACTCCAAGGCTATCAATCATTTCTTCCCTTGTCATCCCAATTCCTGTGTCCTATGTCGATACAAAAACAACAACATATAAAATAGGATAAAGACAGACTATAAAAATATAAAACACCACATACTTCAAAAAAGGACAACATACATGAAGAAAAATTTTATTTTATCTTTTGTGGTTAACAGGATATTAAACTTCCCACCAATAAGATCTCAGAAGAGAGAAAAACAGAAATAAAAAATATCTAAATGAAATACATAAACTTCGAACCTGTTTAATAAAAAATAAGCATATATATATATAAACACACAAGTACCTTCTCTTATATAAGCATTCTTCAAAATGAACTGAACAGTTCAACAACAAAAATTATTATTCAGACAAATGTAAAAAATTCAATCTCTTAATTTCAGTCAAAAACAAACCTGTATAGTGAGTGTGCGAGTTAACTTATCAGTTGCAATGTGCATTTCCAGAACAGAATCTTTTGAAGTTATATTTTCTGCAGTAAGCTGCATATACCTCAACTTCTCTAGAGCATCACTTGCATTGGATATCAGTTCACGAACAAAAACCTAAGGAAAATAATATTACATTTAAAATTAAACAGTTTGTTATATTTACTTTGGACCAAACAATACTTCTGGTACCTAAACAGCTACAGTGATTTGGTAATGTATTTCTGCAGCCAGTATAAAGCCTCTTCATATACAGATAATCAAGAAGTAACTTTGAGAATATAATACATATCTTTTTCTTGTATTAAAATATGTATATTCTATTCTAAAAAATTACTTTATAAGTTACCATATTTGCCAGTGTAAAAGACAATACGTTTTACTCATAAAACAATGCTTGATCTTACCCCCCCTTGATCTTACCCATGTTCAAAGATAGAGTTTCGGTAAGAACTCTCCCGTTAATAGCATATTCAACAAAACTATGTTGTTTTTTAAATTTTGTTTGTTTGCTTGAGCAAGTGCATTGACATCGTGCCACTTACTGTGTTACAATGACTATCTGTAATTGTATCATTTGTCTCGATTCTTCACAACTAGAAGTTACAATTAATCAAGACATTTTTGTTTTGAAATGTATTGATCTCATTCGTCATATTACTAATATTATATCAAAAAAGTTAAGTTTCTGTAAAATACACTAATTTTGTAAACACATTTTAATAGTAGAGCACTATATCTTAATGTTTTATATAAGAAGTTCAACTGTGATGAAAACTTTGTAAAGTTGTTTATTACATGTTTGTGACTTAAGTTATGTCGCATTGAGCTGTCCGTAGTGTTTGAAGAACATAAAAACCACACTTGTGGTAGTACTGATTACCCCAGGGTGCAGGTTAGCACAGTTTAAAAGTAACATGCTTGACAATAGAGGTCGTCCTATACTTGCTTGACAACAGATGTTGTACTATAGACTGAACCTCCAAGAAATACACTTAACTGACTTAAAAAATTCGTCTTTTTCATGGAATCGTCTTATACACTGACAAACACGGTATTCCAAATCTCAAGGAAAACTACATTTAAATATCTTTTCAATAGTAGTGGAATATAAAAATGGGAAACAGGTAAATGAATACTAGATTAATGAACAATTACTAACGTATAGCTCAAAAATACTAAACAGAGGAAAGTACATAAAATCAGCTACAAAAATTATGTGCTATTCTTAATGTTGAAATGCAAAGTGCATTACACCTCTGTAGTTCAGAAGAAATTACATCTGATGGCTGGAAATTAAACATTTTCAAAGTCAATAGAGCTATCAATTGTTGAAGATACTAAGCTTTTGTCAAGGATGAATTATTGGTCAAACTAAAACTTTTAATATTTCTCTTCCCAATTAGATTAATGAAGCAACTTATAATTAATGAAGTTTTCCACAACATTATGTTTTATAATAATACTTGCTTCCTTCTCAGAGTAGAGAGACCTGGCAACGATATCTAACAACATTCTAGTTTCTGCTTGGAACTCTAATTTCTCAGTGGGTCCTAGTAAAAACAAAATAACATTCAATAAAAATAATAGCTTATAAATATGAAGAAATAATAACATTTCATAACAGCATAACAACAACAAAAAAATTAAATACCACACTTCAGATTTCATCTAATATTTTTGGTTGAAATACATCAAGGTTACACAAATTCAAATCTTTCTTTAGATACAAGATTCTTCTCAAATGTTACATACAACAGAATCCACATGAGCCTATTCGAAAACGGTGTAATAATCTTGGGTTCTTAAGTTGTCATGGCAATTCTGTTTCACTAATTACTGATCATAAATTATAAGTGTAATAGTATCATAATATGAAAGAAAGTGTAAGATGTAGAAATTACAGCCATACTTTCAAACACCATTCTTCTAAGGACATTAAACTGGGATAATTAATTTGATAATTATTACAGATATCGATATCCGTATATATCATATGGAATTATAAACATACCTGTTCAACTGGTAGTGATATCAATATCTGTATATATCATATGGAATTATAAACATACCTGTTCAACTGGTAGTGTGAGTAGTGATATCGCTATCTGTGTAAGTCATATGGAATTATAAACATACCTGTTCAACTGGTAGTGTGAGTAGTGATATCAATACCTGTGTAAGTCATATGGAATTATAAACATACCTGTTCAACTGGTAGTGTGAGTAGTGATATCAATATCTGTATAAATCATATGGAATTATAAACATACCTGTTCAACTGGTAGTTCTAGTAACTAGTATTGAGCACCTAACCTTCAGACTTCTAGTGACTAGTATTGAGTACCAACCTTCAGACTTCTAGTGACTAGTATTGAGTACCAACCTTCAGACTTCTAGTAACTAGTATTGAGTACCAACCTTCAGACTTCTAGTAACTAGTATTGAGTACCAACCTTCAGACTTTTCTGTATCTTTTATGATTGTATGATAATCACTTTCTTTAGCTGCTTCTTGTGAAGAAAGGTTGAATGAACTTGTTACCATACGTCTTGACTGAAATCTGGTTTGACCTGAACAACAGAAGTAGCCAGTCTTTAAAAATATTATTGTAATCTTAAGCAAATGTTACATGTTTAGTTGTGAACTGAAGACTACACCATTAGACAAGATACGTATTAGTCCAACTTGGAATCTTGTGATACTTGATTACAGATTTGTTTCAATATTTTCTTAACATTTAGTTTCCAATCTTACTTTCCCAGCTGTGGTAATCTACGACTGAACCTCTCACAATGTTTGTTATTATGTGTATAATAATAACATTTATATATATATTTTTGAAAATCGAATACAATTCATTTAGGAAGGTTTATTTCATCATTCCTCACTTCATTACTAAACCGAGACATCTGCTACCTCCAGTACAATTATTACAAGTTTCATGCTGTTATTCTTAAAAAGATGCATTGAAAGTGTTAAAAATAAATTACAAGTATTAAGTACATCACAGTCTAATTATTAAAACAATTATAACAAGTGGTTGAAGATGATTGAGATACTACTAGGTTAGTGGTTACCAAATATTTCAGCAGTGAAGACCAATACAATCATATATGCAACTATTGAGAACCTGAGAACCATTAGTTATAAAAAAAAACATGTGAAACAATAGAATCTAAGGTCTTTATTTTAATTTAACCAATCAAGTTGCAACTTCGTAAAATAACTATATTTCTCATTTTCATGGAATGGTCAAATTATAACCACTGAATATTGTATTGAAATCACTGCAATAAATAGTACTGATTATTGAACATTGTGTGACAGTAGTGAGAAGGAAGCAGAAAAAAAAACAGATTTTGTCAGAGCTATCCAGTTATTATATATTTCAAATGTGCTTTATATTACTTTCACAAAAATTAACATTTTGTGTTGAAGAAAGTTCTAATCCAAAAGAATTAGCTAGATTTATAACATTGCACTCAGTGTCCTCATTTAGAGAAAGTCACATATTTACAGCAAAACTCTCTATTATTAGCACAACTACTAGAAACACAAATCATAAAACAGGGGAGGATGATCGATAGGATAAAGGTAATGGGATGAGATGATCCAAGATTAGGGTTTGCAAAAAAAGGCAGACTATGTTTGATTTAAGATAGCTTTATTTTTATAAAAGAGTGATTGACGTATTGAACAAGTTGCTGCTAGCAGCAGTGAGGACAATATTTGACAAAAATTTAAAGATGGATGTATAATTTCCTGAAAAATAAAGGGTGCATATAACATTTTACTTTTTCTCAAGTGTAAATATGCTGGGATAATCTTGAAAGGCAAAATGTTCCTTGTTATCCATGTGTTATATTACCAAAAAACTTACTTTTAAATATTCCACTTTACAAAACAATTTTTTAAATGTTATAATTTTTTATTTTTTTTCTGCAACTTAAAATAGGAATATGCCAGGTTTGTTCAGACTGAAACAATTTTTACATTATAAGGTACTACATTATCCAATGTGTGGCAGTAAAACTAAAAAGAATGTGTTGTTGTTAAGCGCAAAGTTACACAATGGATTATTTGTGCTGTGCCCACTACAGGTATAAAAACCCAATTTTTAGCATTATAAGCCCACAGACTTACTGCGGCAGCAAAGAATAAATACTTCGTATTTCAAACTGCATTTTCTGAAAAATAAGATGGAGTATTAAGTTAAAAAGGTTTATAAAATGTAAGTTGCATATTCTATCAAATTCAAACTTTTAACTGAAAAGATAATAAAAAATTATGGATTTTCTTCCCATGCAAACATAACTAATAAACGCTGGTTTATTACTCCAAACTCAAAGTTATCATGCTCACCATCAAAGTAGGTGATGGATGAAATTAGGAGACTGTATATAATTTTGTAAAACTTAGATAGTTTGTCTTACTCTTATTTATTTTTGGAAACACTCCATGACTCATTGACTGTACCTTATTCTAATTCATTGTATTTGTCGTTGTGTTTGTAAGTTGCACTAACTGTAGTACTATAAACTATAATACTACTTTTAGTTTTACTTGTACTAGTAGTAATAAATAGCGATACTTAACACTAAGTTACTAACTAACTGTTACTGTTAGTGTCTTACTTTAATGTATCGTCAGGACTAACCTGGACTTGTTGTTCATCTATTAAATTTTATATTAAGATTAAACCTACCAAACT